TTCTCAAGTTATAGATCCTCTTGTCGTCTTCTAGCCTTTGCTACTGCTTGTTTCCTTGTTATTTTTAAAAAGTTTCTCCTTTCATAATCCCACATTGCAAACCTGTCTTCCAGTTTGGATAATCTATCCTTAGTTTCTTTCAAGCAGTTTTGCCAGCTTTCAATGGAGTTTTTAATTTCCTGGTAATCTCTTTGAATCTGCTTCATGTATTCTATATTTTCTTTATATTCATCAAATGGTTCTCTCCTTTGTGTTCTCTATTCTTCTGTCTGTGTCTTCTTGAGAAGTGCTTAGCATTTCTTTTATTAATCTATTTATATCTTGCTTTACTTGTTTAAATATTTCACTTTTGAACTCGTTTATGAGGTCCCAAATATATCTCTTTATGTCCACTGCTGCTGTGTCTGATACTGCCATGTTTGCTGTCCTCGATCTCTTTTGTATTTACCTTTCCTGGATCAATGTTCTCAGTGTTGGGGGCTGGGGCTTTTTGTTATTGCTTCCCAGTCCCCTCCCCCCCCCTTTTTTTGGCTCTGGTTCTTCTAAGTGCTAGCTAGGTGATCCTGCCTACTATACTGTGCTATTAAGGTGCAAACAGGGGCAACATATGCTGGTCCCTCCCCTCCAGGTCAGTCAACCTGCTGAGGCCTTTACTACATCAGTGCGCCCTCACATAGGGAATTGGTTTGGGACAGCTTATTGGGTCTCAGCCATGGGCGTGACCCAAGCTAAGCAAACCCCACCAATCTCATCTGGGCATGGAAAGACTGACTGAAGTCTCTGCCTTACCTTGTATCTGCCAGTCCTGCCTGGTTCCAAAATGTCATCCCCTTTCTCATGGAAGGGTTTTATTCCCAGGACTCACCACAGGTCAATGCAGGTTCCTTACCGGCTCTGTTCTCTGCTGGTCTTGCCAACCTCCAACTTCAGTGCGCCTGCGGTTCCCAACAGTTGAAGCAGCGGCAATTCGGGCAGTTTGCTGGGTAGCAGCCACACGAGTTTGGGCAGGCCAACCAGTGCAGTTCTCTGGTTCACTGCTCCCTTTTGCCTTCACATCTCCCCACCAAAGCCTTCAGGCTTGCCAGCCACCAGCTTCACTGGCCCATGCATCTCCAGGTTCCAACAGTGCTTCTGGCACAGTGGGACTAGCTCTGGTGAGAGCGCCACCAGCCTTCTTCTGTTCAAGGTATTCTTTTCAAAAATTCTTTCTGTGGGCCTCAATTCTCACTTTAGCTTCTTCCTGGGTCAAGGAGACCTTCATCTTTCCTGCTTTTCTTTTCCAGAATGCTATATTCCAGTACCTGGGCTGTTTCTCTCAAAGAGGCTTTTTACTTTGCTCCTTACTGTTCCGCCATCTTCCCAGACCCAAAGCTTTATGACTTTTTAAAAGTAAAAACAGGCCATGTTACTGGTTCTCTTAAAAACATTCTACTGTAGTATTCTGCCATCTAACAGTTTAATCATTTCACTTACTATTTTGTGCCATGTTAGACAAAGCATTAGGAAAACAAGGAACAAAATATGTATACTTTAAATCAGAAAACATCACAGTGAAGTGGAGAAAGGAGACACAGTGAGAAAGTTTTTAAAAAATTAAGTTATCTGTAGTGTTTCAGGATTTTTAAAGTCACACAGGCCTGGATACAATTCTTAAACCTGCTCCGTAGGAGCATAGCTCAGAGTTTCCTCTTTTATACTTTTATCACTTTATATAAAAAGTGATAATAATAACTACTTTATCTGCTCCTTGTTAGGAGAAGATAAGGCAAAATGCTTAGCCTGACAATTCATGGTAAGTACGCTATACATTATGTATGGTATTGGTAATAAGGAAATATCTACCATGGGTAAAGAAGGCTTCCTAGAAGAGCTGTTTCTGAAACGAAGTCTTAACCTATAAATAGGAAGAAGTATCAAAATGAAACTTTAGAGAAAGTTTAATTTTTACCCTCACACTAAAGATTCTCCACAATCCACTCTCTGCTTATGTTAACAACTTCTTCCCTTCTGAATCATCTCAACAAAAACTCTCTTCTGTTCAGCCTGATTTATTTAGATTGAGAAATACACTTTGCTAATTTAATTTTTCTACTAGTGTTAAAGCCACACATACCCCAACCCTACCATTATCCTAAGACCTGTTCACTGTATAAGACTAGTTTTTAAAAATTGACCACACTCGTCTTTAGCTCTTTTAATTTTTCTAGTATGGGATCAGATTACCATGCTCCTTTACACATTTCCTACTTACTTTGCCCTTCCACTATATATATACTTCTTACAGTAGTTAACCATTTGCACCTTCTATACACTGAAACTTTAAATTTGCATGTGAACATCATGTCTCTATTGGATTGTAAATTCCACAAAGCATTTTGCATATCCACAAAAAATAGGGCAAAGATATTAGCACTTCAGTGTAAAATCTATTTGATAGCTGAACACAAATAACAGATCAAAAAGCTGTTAGTAACAGGCTCATTGTTTAACAGAGTACATGACTGGTGTGTAAAAGTTTAAATGCTTGGATTTCATGAGGTTCCTGTTTTTAAAATTCTCACTTCCATATACTCTCAGCTCTATCAAGTGTCAACAACAAACATTTTCCACTGTGTATTGTGTTAGTAATTTAAGATGACTCAAATCCTTCTGGGAATAAGCATGATATAGCAAAATAAAGGCCAGGAGAAAAGGTTCAACATCTTAGCCGTGTCTTGTATAGTAAAAGGACAGAAACTGACAGGTATAGAGTAAAATCCTTTGAAACTTGCTGCCCTTAGATCTTGGTCAAATTCTTAACCTCTATGATACAATTCTCCATCTAATAGTGTAGATTAAATACCACTCAGGGTTCCTGTGAAGATTTTAGCACCTATAAAATATAAATATATACAGTATCTAACACACTGCTAGAAAGACATTTCCTTAATTAATCAGAATTATTATACTATCAACCATCCCTTCCTCTGCAAATCTTTTAAAAATAAAACAAGGAAATACTCTCTTCTTCCTTCTCTAAAAATGACATTATAAGCAACTTGTTGAAACCCATTGAGCCTTTACTCCTAAACACAGTGAACCCGAATATTACCCCATGTACAACAGGATTGTCATAGCCAAATTTCTACTTGTTACAGAGAAGAACAGTTACAGTATCACTACACTTCATAGAGTAATTAAATTTTCCCAACATTAAGAACTCTCAACTTGATAAAAAAAAAAATGAGAAGTTTACACTAAAAACAAGATGGACTCCTGTGGAAAAGAAAGAGAGATAATGTTTCACAAAAGATAAAAGATGAACTGTTCAACACAATTTCTGAAGGCATCTGAGATTGTTACTACTGCCTTTAACAATTCTTTAGATCCTCTAGTCCAAATGACAGGAAGTAAAAAGATAGGTAATAGGAAGCAGGAAGATAGATCTTTTACAAGTAAGAATGGGATATACAGATAAAGGGAAGAGGAAGGGGCAAAGGAGGTAGAGGGAAGGTGAAGTAAAAAGAATTTAAATGGTTAAGATGTGTTACATACACCACAAATGTAATCATTATATACTGCAAAAGTGTACTAATAAAAATTTTAAATATTAAAAAGATAAATAAAACACCTCCCATATACTAGCAAGAAACAAGAATCATTTGTTTGTTTGTTTGTTTGTGACAGGGTCTCACTATATAGTTTAGGCCAGCCCTGAACTTGCTGTGTATGCAGCCCAGGTTGGCTTCAAACTTACAATCCTTCTGCTTCAGCCTTCTGAGTATTGGGATTACAAGTATGTAAATAATTTAAAATAATGTGTAGTGGGCCAAAAATATCAAGAACTCTTGGAAATAAAGAGATTTCTGAAGTCACTTAAACCAAGCTTCTTCAAACATAGTCAAGAAAGTAAGCATAATACATGTCAAGCTTTTTTCCGCCTCATTAGACATTCACTTCGTAATTTTCCCATGATCTTATTTTTTTCTCTTGTACCAAGACAAAGTAGGTTCATTTGCCTTGCAAACTGGACCTAAACACTGAAAATATGCAAGACTCCTGCTCCTGACAACACTGGCATAGCAGGGCAACAGAACAAATATTCCTGCAGTAATCTGACTAAACCATCATGTCCCTGAGTAGGAAGATGTTAAAAAAAAAAAAAAAAAAAAAAACAAAGAGGGACAGTGCTGCCTACCAACAGAAATAAACAATTAGAATTACATGTTTTCATATTTCTCCTACAGAAACAAAGATCTCTATAAGGCTATCATTATGTAGAATTTTCTGGTGATAATTACTGACTTCTCCCCCATGTACTTTCTCAATGACACCATGAGAAAAAGCTGAATTAGGCTGAGACCAAGCTACAGAAAGTGATAAACAGAAACTAGCAACATTTCTTTGTTGCTGAACCAAACAAACTTTATTTTATTTTATTTTCAACAATAAAACCACCCTTCCTGCAGGCAGCTAGTCTGGGCAGAGAGAGCTAGTAGACCCGCCTCCACCTGCCAGCAGTGGCCATCAGAAGGCTGCTTCCTGTGGGCAGGGACATGTAGCCCATAAGTTCCATGCACCTGCAGGCCACCACTGGAGGTCCTTGGTTCCTTTGGACAGCTATCACCCACCAAGAGAATCAGACAAACACATCCCTGTGTGCCTGCCACCATTATGGGACTCTTGGTGTAAACATGCAGGCTGAGAGAAACAGCCCCACCACCATGCACCCCTGGCAATTGGGGAAGTCCCAGTGTAGCTATACAGGTCTGGAGAAGCCTACCCTATGCCCTGTTACCTCCCTGTAAATCTGCAGTCAGAGGAACCCAGATGTTTGTCCCATTCTCCTACACAGTCAAGGGATGCCAAGGTGGGAAGTGCCTGGGACCCCAAAACTGGCTTGTTGGGAGGAACCCAGGAGAATGTCAAGACAAAGAAGCAAAAGATACTCTCAGATCTCCAGCCCACACAGATCACACGTCTGGGAGATACAGTCATGGAAGAAAACAGAAGTCACATACCTAAAACCTCCAACAGGATAGCAACTGAAGTAAACAAACAGCTTCGTGACACTGTAAAAGCAATCAAACAAAAAATAATGTCTCAGGCAAAACAAGAAATCACAAACACAAGAAAACAATTGCTCAGCATATCTAAAGAAGACATAGACTTAAAAAAAGAGGAGCATAGGAAAATGATGGAAACCTTGAATGAACAATATAGAAAAGAATCACAATAAATGAAGCAGATTCAAAGAGATATCCAGGAAATTAAAAAGTCAATCAAAAGCTGGCAAAACCACTTGAAAGAGACTGAAGATAGACTTTCAAACCTTGAAGACAGGATTGCAGCCTAGCGATCATGAAAGGAAAGATCTCTTAAAAATAAGAAGTTAGGAAATAACAATTCAATGGCTGCAAGATGATGCAAAGAAACATAATTTAAGAGTGACAGGTATCAGTAAAGAAACAGGGGTCAACACAAATGAAATTAAAAGGCTATTTACAGAAGTAATAGCACAAAACTTCCCAAACATGGGAAAAGGATCTGGCATGCAGATAAGTGAGGCATATAGGACTCCAACTAGCCATAACCAAAGTAAATCTACACTCAGATATATAATAATGAGGATCCCAGAAATTCAACACAAGAACAGAATATTAAAAGCTGTTAGAGAAAAGAAACAGATCACCTATAAGAATCATGGCAGACTTGTCAACACAAATCAAGTCAAGAAGAGTTTGGAGTGAAGTGTTTCAAACCATGAAACAAAACAATTTCCAATCCAGATTGATCTACCCTGCAAAACTATCTTTCAAAGTTGATGGAAAAACACGTTATTTCCATGATAAAGAACAACTAAAGGAATACATGACTACCAAACCAACCCTACAGAAAGTGCTAAAGGATATTCTAGAGAGAGATAAAGATGACCATGGTTCCAGGAACAGCAAAAGGAGGATCATCAAATAAGACAGGCAACTGAATAAAGTGGAGAAGTAGAAGGCCAATAGCAGGAGGATAACAAGACAGAGACAAACCAATGTATGCTGGTTGTAACCATTAATGTAGACAGCCTCAAGACAGCAATAAAAAGAAATACAGGAGAGTGGATTAAGAAACAAGATCCATGTTGTTATGTCCTCTTTTATCTCAATCTCCCCCTTTTTTTAAAAAGTGTATTTATTGGGGCTGGGGATTTAGCTCAGTGGCATAAGCGCCTGCCTTGCAAGCAGGCAGTCGTGAGTTCGATCCCTGGTACCGATAAAAAGGAAAAAGACAAAAAAAAAAAAATGTATTTATTGGGGCTGGGGATTTAGCTCAGTGGCATAAGCACCTGCCTTGTGAGCAGGCAGTCATGAGTTCGATCCCCAGTACTGGTAAAAAAAAAAAAAATTTTTTTATTTATTTATTTCATTATTATTTTTTTTTAATTAAGGGAAAAAATTTTTAAAAAGCAGGATATATTATAGTAACTTTTTTGGTTTCCTATGAACTTGATTTGAAGGCCTGTATTGCTCCCACCATCTTGTTTTGACTGATTTTACTCTGTTCTTTTCTGTTTGATAGTATCAAGTTTGAGGGTATAGGCAACTACTTTGAAGGCAATAAGACTCACTATAACGTGCATTCTGGTTTGACTATTATCCTCTTTTGAACTCCTGTAATGTCTCCAATGTTTAGGTTTTATTGGTCTTGCTCTGTACTGTTTTGTTCAATTTTATTATACCTAATGATATAGGCAATTCTTTTTAAGGTAGCAAGAGGCATTATGGTAACCATTGTCGATTACATTGTATTCTGTTTTTACATCATGTACTATGTCCATCCTTTGTTTTGACTGATTGCTTTGTTTTGTCATATTTGGTTTTATTCTCTTCCAAAAAAAAGTAATAAGAACTATGGGAGTAATAAAACCCAAAATGTGTAAATGTTGTTGTAAAAAAGAGGGGAAAAAAGTGCTCTAAAGGCTACAACTGCAAGTGTGTTTAGGTGTGTTAAGATAGATGACCATATTACTAAGCTTTTGTTAGATCACTGAACACAACTTTTGCAGTCTCACTATTTGAATGTCTACTTTGTATGCTTTAATCCTGTAACTTGAACAACTATTTCTAAGATGACAATATGTAATCTATTAACGAGTGATTTCTTACTGGTTTTTTTTTTTTTTTTTTTTGAAATTCTGTATTACTTGTACCCTTATACTGTTTTGGTTTTTTCCTCCTTTAAATAAAATTAAAAAAAAAAAAAAAAGAAACAAGATCCATCAATATACTATATACAAGAAACACATTTCACACAAAATGAAATTCACAGACTGAAAATCAAAGAAGAGAAAACAATAGTTGCACATGACAGGAGACCAGGAAAAAAGCAAGGGTAACTTGCTCATCAACTGTAGAATGGATAAGAAAGATACGGTATTTTCATACAATTAAAAGGTACCCACCTATAAAGCAGAATAATCTCAAGGCTCTTATAGGTAAATGGACGCAAATGGTGATCATGGGTAGAAGTTTGAAATCACACGGGTGAACCTTAGCATAAAAACCATAGCATAGTGGGATCCAAAAAGCACAACAGATATTGTAAAAGTGATAGGGGAGGATACACCTGGGAGGGGAAGTTAGTAACTACTGTTAATTTTTTATTATCTTGTTTTGAACTGCTGTATTGTTTTTACAATTTTGTTAGATTTGACTTTGTTCTGCCTTGTTTTGTTAGGCTTTACTTTGCCTGGGAAGTTATTTTCAACATAATGGGATGTATTATGACATCATGGTTGGTTTCCTATTATATTGCTTTGAAGTCTTATAATACTTCCGTTTATTTATTTAATTGGTTTTGTTGTGTTTTGTTTTGTTTGATTTTATTATGTGTGATGGTATGCAGTTATTTTGAAGAACACAAGACATTATGGTAGCCATTGCTGATTTCCTATCATCTTGTTTTGAAGTCCTATTATGCTTTTACTCTTTTGATTGATTCTATTCTGTTGTATTTTATTTGATTTTATTATGTGTGATAGTATGGATAACTGTTTTGAAGAAAACGAGGTATCAGAGTAACTATTGTTCATTTCCTGTTATCTGGTTTTGAAGTCCTGTAATACTTTCATTCTTTGATTGGTTTTATACTTTTTTATGTTTGATATTATTTTGTGTGCAGGTATGGACAACTGTTTTGAAGAAAACAAGAAACATTATGGTAGCCACTTTGTATCCTGGTTTTTGTTTTAAAATCCTGTATTACTTGCATTGTTCTGTTCTGATTTGCTTTGTTCTGTTCTGTTTTGTTTAGTTTTATTAAGTAAAAAAAATTTTTTTAAAGAATAAAACCCACATGTATAAATACCGAATAGTCTCCCTAGTATAAGAAGTGGTAACAGTATGTAAGAGTTTATAGTAATCATTATTCCCCATTACATTGCTCTGAAGCTTTATAATGTCTGCATTAGTTGGAATGGTTTTATTCTAGTTTGTTTGATTTTATTATCTGTGATAGTATAAACAGCTATTTTAAAGAAAAGAAGACATTAGAATAGTCAGAGCTGATTTAGTATTGTCTTACTCTGAAGTCCTACTATGCTTTCGTTTTTCTGTTGCCTTTGGTTCTATCCTGTTATATCTTATTGAATACTATTATGTGTGATAATATAAACAAACTTTCTATGGAAAATGAGATAATACAGTAGCCATTGTTCATTCTCTGCTATTTATTTCTGAAAGTCCTGTAATGCTTTCATTCTCTTGAATGGTTTTATACTGGTTTGTTATGCTTGCTACTATCATATATGAAGCTATGCTCAACTACTTCAAAGAAAGAGACACTGCGGTAGTTACTGTTAATTATGGGTTCTCATGTAGTAAAATGTGTATTATTTGCATTGTTCTGATCTGATCTGCTTTGTTATGTCCTCTTTTGTCTTAATCTCTTTAAAATAAAAAAAATTTTTAAAAAAAGAATAAAACCCAACAAAATAAAATAGAATAAAGCCAATCAAAACAAAATAGTGAAAGTGATACAGGACTTCAACACAAGATAATAGGAAATCAACAATGGCTACTATTATGTCTCTTGTTATCTTAAAAATAGTTACCCAGATACTATCAGATAAAATACAACCAAACAAAACAGAACAGAATAAAACTTCAAAACAATGAAAGTGACAGAGGATTTCAAAACTAGATAATAGAAAATTAACAATGGCTACCATAATATATCTTGTTATCTTTGAAATAGCTTGTCTGTGGCCATCTGAAATAGCTGCCCATGCCATTAGATATAATAAAATCAAATGAAACAAAACAGAATAAAACCAAACCAAACAATGAAAATGATACAGGACTTTCACACAAGATAATAGGGAATAAACAATGGCTGCCACCTTCAGAAGAAAATTCCCCACAGTTGCTATACTACATACTGTTATCCTCCAAATATATCCTAGGACCATGGGCCTTAGGCCTGCAAAGTCAATCAAATACTAAACATTGTAAGTATTAAGTTGTTTTTTTCTACCCCAGCAGCTATCATTCCAGCCTGTTTCTCGGCATCAGCCAGCTGCTTGGTGAGTTGGGGAGAAGGGGGAATATCTGCTTTTATTGTCTCCAAGTCCATGCACCAACTGGCTCACAGAAAGAAGTTGTTTCCTTGTTTCTCTTCCCCATGGCCCATAACTGCTACTGATACACCGGAAGAGATTGGCTTCTTGTTTCTCCTCCTCATGGCCGTGACTGCCACTGACTCACAGAAAGGGATACCAAGCAAGCTTTAAGTGATTGTTTTTATTGAAATCAGTCCTAAATTTGTGGTCCTGCTCTCCCAGAAACTTATATTAACTTATATGACTAAGACTAGAAAATTCATGAAATCATGCAGTGGATTAAATCATTTTGAACAGATATACAATACAGAAATTAAACCACTTTGAGTAACATATATCAATTCAGTAAAATTAAAGTATAATTAACTCTTTTATTTAGTCCCTTAAAGTATGCCCTACTTTGAATATTTCAAGCAAACAATATAGCACTAAGAACTTTAAGTCTCCAACATCAAAAGGTTTAGAAAGTTTCATAAATGATATGCTGAATATTTGAGAAAACCTGGCAAATATCAAAGAAAATGAAGTGATATTATACATTTTAAAAGTATTTAGTTCACAGGTATAGGCAAGAACTTTCTGAACAGAAATCCAGTTGCGTAGGAATTAGCACCAAGAGTCAATAAATGGTATGATACCAAATCAAAAAGCAAAAGAAACAACAAACAATGAAAAGATTACTTTCAGAATGGGAAATATTTTTTGTCAGCAATTCTTCAGGCAAAAAACTTCTATTTAGAATATAGGAAGAACTTAAAAATATTAGACCCCTCCCAAAATAAAAGACAATTAAAAAATGGGCAAGTAAAATGAAAAGACAACTCACAGGAGAAGTAGTAAAAATGGCCAACAAATACATGAACAATTGTTCAGCCTCACTGGCCATTAGAGAAAAGCAAATGAAAACACTGAAACCTTATTCCAGAAAGGTTTAGAGAAAAGCAAATGAAAACACTGAAACCTTATTCTATCATCAAAAACTCAAACAATAAATGCTTGCAAGGTTACAGACAAAAGGAATCCTTCTACATTGCTGGTGAGACTGAAAATTAGTAAAAGCATTATGGAAATGAGGATGGAGATTCCTAAAAAAACTAAAAATAAAAATTCCATTTGGCTCAGCTATTCTCAATGTTGGTATTTTCCTAAAAGAGTTAAAAGATATATTACAGTGATACATGCATGCCAGTCGTTATAGAAATCTAACTCCTAATCCCTAAATTTTGGAAGTAGCCTACATATCCATCAACAGAAGAATAAAGAAAATATAATATATATATATATAATATTTATACAGAAGGCAGTACTATTCTGCCATAAAGAAAGATAAATTTGAGTCATTTACAGGAAAAATAGATGTACTTAGAGAGCATAATGTTAAGTGAAATAAATCAGATGCACAAGCTTAAATACAACACGGTTTCTCTTATATGAGGAACCCAAAATGTAAAGAGCAAAATAAAAGAGATAAAGGGAAGAGATAATGGGATTTTTCAAATGAGAATGGGATGAAGAGTTGGAAGGGTAGGGAGGCCAGGAAAGAAAAGGGATGAAGTAAGGAGTTAAGATATTTTTGGGATGCTGGGTATTAAAACCAGAGCCTATGCAAATAGGCTAGGCAAGTGCTGTACCATTGAGCTACACTCCCAATGCCAGGAATTAGTATGTGTCACGTTCAGGTACTAATGCCCCATAAAGAATGTAAACATTCTGTACTACAAACATATATAATAAAAAATTAAATTTTTTAAAAATAAAAATATTTGGTGCCTACAACAAGAACTGTAATATCAAAATTCTATGTTGCGCTCTAGTCAGGGGATACTAGAAATAGTGTGCATACTGCAGCAAAGGAACCACACCAAAGTAGATTAAACTCTTTTTAAACATGTGGCAAAAAGCAGATCTCAACAACCCAAGAGGTAATGCAATAATACAATATTTACACTAAACAAGGAAGAGGCAAAACGATTAGATACCTTTGTAACTAGCATAGCAATCAAAAACTTGTACTGTTTTAACTAGTCTTAAAAGAAGTACCAATTAAAGTAAATAGATAAACAAATTTTGTTTTAAAAATTTGTGCTTACCATTTTGGCCTCAAAAGTTAATAAGTATTGAGAAGAAATTTATACACAGGTGGAAAAACTAACATAAGGAATTTAGGCATAATGAATGAGTTTGAATAAGAGCTCAGAAGCTCACCTGGAGCACGACTAAATCACAAAGACTGACAATGAATTACACTCCTATAACTAAGACCAACTTTCAATTTTTTTATAACATGAAGAAAGACACAAGGCAGGGCTAATTGTGAAAACTACAGGTTTTTGTTTTTGTGATACTGGAGATTGAACCTAGGACCTTCACACTGAACTACATCCCAATTTTTTTTATTTTTTATTTTGTTAATTGACTCAGGGTCTCACTAAGTCGCTAAATTGCCCAAGTGAAGCTGGAACTTGCAGTTCTTATGCCTCAGCCTCCATGAGCACTGGGTTTATTAGCGTGTGCCACTATACCCAAAAGGAAGCCACTTTTGTAAATATTCTATTGGTGATTAAACTATTGGAAACTTTCAGATAAGAAAGGCAATGAACTACTGTTCTAGGTAGTAGCAAAGGAAACAAAAGAATGAAAGGTTTCCAGAACAATTTAGAGATACTGCTTATAGTATTTGACGGTTTATTCATTTCTGGGAAGAGTATATAGCAGGACTTGCTTTATCAGTCTAGCCATTAATCCATTAACAATAACAAGAGTAAAAAACATACACTGTGAGAAATTAACCCGTTTCAGTTTCACAACACCATGAAAAGTATTCCATAACCATCCTTGTTTTACAGATGAGAAAATAAGGCTCCTATCAGTTATGTTAATCAATTAATATGTACACACACACACACACAAGGCACAAGATTTGACTCTAGTGCAATCCTAAGCAAACGCTCCTGATGGATAACTAAATAAATGTCAAGCGAAGACGACAAAGTCACAGGAAGACAGTACGTAGTAACACCCAGAGCCCAGCCTAGTGAAGAGGGAAGGTCCCGGGGGAAGAAGACAGCACAAGTAAATAAGGATTTGGCTGTATTTGAATAACGGAGTGTTTTTTAAAAAAATTCATATCCAGGCTGGTCCGATGGCAGTGGGTTATCAGAACTTATTAACATTAGTGCCACTAAAGTTGGTATACCACCCCCCCCACTGCTAAATTTGACTGGCTTTAGAAAAAAATTCATATCCAATATAATCCTTGAAGATAGAACCTAGAAAACTTCATTTTAATTTTTCAATCAAAAAGCAAAATCATAACAATCAGTAATTTTGCAGCGATACTAAGTTTTGAGGCTTCGGTAACAGATCTTTGAGGTCTCCTCCTGCTCCAGCATTGTAGTTGACACTATGAATGAATTTCTCAGAAATCAAAGGAGACAGGCAGGGCTCTCTGCTCCAGGAAACTAGTTATGTATTCACAGTCCACATCGTTTATGTTCCCATTTTTACTAAACGTTTCATCTTACGAACAGGGCTGGAGCAGCCAACGGGAGACAAGGATGTGGTGTCCACGATATGATGGGTCCAGAAGCTGGTCTTTTCCTATTCTTTTCTAGCACCGTTACCAGAAAGAACATTTCTGACTATAAATACCGCTCGGTTATCGAGTGAAGTCCCGTTACCTAGCCAATGACGTATGCCAATACATTCTTTCTACGTGCCATAAAGAGTTACGGGAAACGTCTAGGTCGTGGCCTCCCCGCTCTGAGGACAGGTAAATCCGGCCCAGAAAAACTACTGCAATTCCACAAAGTCCCCTAATCCTACCTGAGGGTCCTCTGGTAAGATTGATCTCTTCCTCTGTGACCAAATAATCCACTCTTCCGTTCATGTTTTACTGGTCGCCTGGCTTCTTCTCTGGACGGCCCCGGGCGCCGCACAGGTGAGAGTGAATCACAGCCCTTTCAGCTTCCGCAGCCCGCGGACCGGAAAAGGAAGCGGCGGGCGACTGGAGCGCGGGGAATGCCGGGAGTCGGCGATGGCGGTTTGCGGCTCCCGACTGCGCTTTCAAGCACATGTTGAGGTAAACCTAGGAATAGCTAAAGCAGACGTATTTTACCATTGAAAGCCGTTAGGAAGGTGGCGGCAGAGGGACGCTAGCAAAGATTGGGGACATGAAGTAAATTGATTTTGACCTGGAAATTGTTCAAGTTCTCCACCTCTCCCAGAAAAATCACATGTATAGAAAACGACGGAAGAAAAAAATTAGTTTTATTATAGTACTAGCGTCAAACAGAATGCGATGACTGTCACAGGCAATCTAATAAGATTACAAAATCAGACAGCAATCATCCTTTTTATGTAGCCAAACAATTGCAATCCATTGTGTGTATATTTGCACATGGGAGGATTTAAGAGCACATTTACTATTCTCACACTTTAATAGTTGCCCTTTGGAGTGGCTGTTCGTGTTAATATATCCAAACGCATAACAAAACTCTTTCTGGCAAGCAGTCTCTTTCTTATAGCTTGGATCAAGACATTAGGAATAGTGCTCATGGTGTCAGAAAATAAGAGCGCTGTATTCCTTGATGTTGACATTTTAAAAGATTCTCGGGACTTTAAGGAAAAAAAATTGAGCTTATATCAGGCAAGAGATTTATTTAACTGTTCAGAGTTTACATTCCTGGCTTATATCTAACAAGAAGCTGATTTGACTTTTAACAAAGATATATACGTACTGACGTAAAGAAGGATTATAATTACAAATTTAATCAAGAAAATCCTCTGAAAAAAGGGAGGAGGAAAAGTGTTTCTTTTGACAATGGAGAAGATTCCATTTTTTTCTTTACTTTTTCTTTTAACCACTTAACAATAAAAAAAAAATACCTTGCTGTGACTTTAACCCAGGTTGCTTGACTTTGGAGTAGAACATGTTTTTCAAAACAGTTTTGAAGGAAACAAGATAACAAAAACACAAAAGCCTTGGGAACGAAGAAGATGACTCAAATATGTGAGATAGTCACTAGGATTTGGGGGCAGAGGTGTTAAGGGGATTGGAATACAGGCCCTCTGTACCAGCACCAATATGTAGGCACTCAAATTTAAAACAGCCAGCATCTACTCTGCCAAACGAAACAAGACAGGCAAGTTCCATATGAAATTCTCTTATTTGCTTATACTCAGAGAAGTTGACATGGAATAATGGCAAGAACACAGGAGATGAATCTGACAGGATATTGCATCTTTTTCCAATTGTGGATTTTGAACAAGTGACATAGCATTTCCAAACTGCTTCCCCATTGGAAATAGCTCACTAAAGATATTCCCATGATTCAGTTAAGTATAATTTTCAAAATTACATTTCTATGTAGAACTCAATCGGATTCCTGCTATCCTAACTTATGACCCTCCTTCATATATGTTGGCTAGATGGCTAGATGAGTAAATAATATGATCTTTCTTTCTTGAGGTTTTGTTTTTTGTTTTTTTGTACCAGGAGTCAAACGCACGACCTTGCGCTTGCCAGCCAGGTGCTTATGCCGCTAGCTAAATCCTTGCCCAATTTTTTAAAAGACTGAAAAAGATGAGTAAGTGGCCCTGGAATGCCAAGAGAAAAGAAATGAAATAGAAATTTTAAAAGAAAATTTGGAAAACACCCCACAGATTCTTGTAGACCACTGGTATGAAAATCAGTACTCTGTACGTTAGAAAATTCTTTTGATCGGAGCACACAGCTTTAAAGGACTCACGCACATGGCAGTGAAAGAAGAAGGAATCATTAAATAAGTCCAGAGATGCCAGTAATATGTGGAGTGACGTATTGCCTTTATCCCCAAATGGAAGTAATTTTAAGAATAAGAAGCTAATATATAGAAACATAGAAAACAGGAAACGAGTTTACACTTAGAGAAAAAAATACTATGAAATTGGAATACTGATGGGGATATTTGGGGAATATAGAAAGGAGTGTGGAGTCCATGAGGTGATGATGCTGACAAAATAGGCTACAGATAGCTTGTGAAAGAAAGGTAGAGCAAAAATAAGCACAGAAAAATAAAAAGGAAGAAGCACTTAATTCTATATGCAAGTTTTTCTCTCACACTAAAGAACTCTAACAATAGACTGCCAAGGGTTATTGGAAAGCTCCTGAGTCACCAGGAGTGCCAAGTTGCTTCCATCTTTCTGTCCCCATCCCCAAGATGTGCCATTTTATTATGAGTGAAGATGGCAAAAGGTATTTTTGGAGTTTTCCAGCATCATATCCACATTCCAAGAAAGCAGTGAAGAAAACTTAGAAATACACACTTCTTATACCTCATTGACCAGATATAACCAGTTACATGGTTATATCTACCTGTAGGAGAAACTAAAGTTATATTTTATTGGGGTGGAAATATTCCAACTAAAAAATCAGGTTTATTATTAACTAAGGAAGAGAGAATGAATATTGGAGACCATTGGTAGTGTCTTCATGCAAGAAGTGAATTTGTATCTGAGCTAGCCACTCAAAACCTATGTCCTTGACATATAAAAGAAAGGAATTCAATAGCAAGTTTAATCTACCACTTATAAGATCAATGGAAACCTTACCTTACCCTTACTCATAGTGGGTTCTACTTTTGTGCACTTCAGGTCATATATTCACTTGATCTCTCTAATCACTTAAGTTGCTTTAACATCCCTTCCTACATCAGTATTTTACTTTATGACTAGCTTATGGATATATTTGCATTTAGGACATGCCCACCCACTTTTCCTTTGACGTAACAGTTTTTCCAAATTGCTGCCCTATAGCTGACCACTTTGGTTTCAAAGTATAGCATATCTCATTTTTCCTGTGCTTCCTTATATGATTAAATCACTTTCAAACTGATTTCTTTTTACTTTTTGTGTTATATTTATTAATATGATATTAATTTGTTAGTTACCCTAACAGATACCACAGAATGGTGGTTTCAACAATAGAAATTTATTTTTCCACACTTTTGGGATCTGGAAATCCCAGATCAAGGTGCTGATTTCCTCAGTGATGTCTATCTTCAGCTAGCAAATTGCTACCTTTTCCCTCAATCTTCAGTCACATGATCTTTTTTCTCTGCAAATGTTTATCCAAATTTCCTCATTTTTTAAATACATCAGTCATATTGGATTAGTATCTATCTGGAAGACCTTCCTTTAACTTAATTTTCTTTTTAAAAGCTTTATTTCCGGGGGCTGGGGATTTAGCTCAGCGGCATAAGCACCTGTCTTGCAAGCAGGCGGTCATGAGTTCAATCCCTGGTACCGATAAAAAGGAAAAAGACAAAAAAAAAAAAAAAAGCTTTATTTCCAGATAACATTACTTTCTGAAATACTAGATATATTCCACATATGAATTTAAAGACACACAATTTAGCACAGTGGTAGTGAACCTATGGCATTGTATGCTGTAGCCAGCTGTTTGTTTTTGAAAGTGTGAAAAGGTTCACCATCACTAGTTTGTTTAGCCTATAGCACAGATTCTAGTGAAGTCACAAATACTGGAAAGCAGCATTGTGTATCTCGGCTACAGCCTATTACACACTGATTTCACAGATTAATCCTTATAGCAGTACCATCTCTTTAATTTCCACATTTTTAGGGAAAGTTATACTCTAGGCCCCAACTACAGCAGGAGTCATTTACAGACTTTTCATTTTCTCACAACATTCTTTGTCTTTATTCTCTGTTTCTATGTATATATACATTCTCTTTGCAAGAAATCTCATTCATCTGGCTATAGATGATATTAATATGCTGGTACTCACCTGTCTTCGTCGACCATCTGTTTTGTGTAACCTGGTTGCCTACGTGGCATCTCAAAATTTGGCTGCCTAATATACATCTTCATTTACCATGTTGAAAACACAATTGTTAATCCTTAAAACCCTTAAGCTGATAGTCTTTTATCTTTTGTCGAGTAACATAATTAACCTTAAAATAAAAATCATAACAACCATTCTTGATTTCATTCTTTTCCTCTTACCTACATTCAACCCATCAGAAAGTAAAGTCCATAGAAAATACAGTTTGTATCTGACCATCCCTACTACTATTGTCTTGTTATAAGCCACCAGTATTTACTGCCTCTACTTCTGCTATTTCTCCTACGAGTTTGGCCTGCTGCTCACTGTCTATCCTTTATTCTTTCTATAACTGAAGCAGCCTCTTACACAAATGTAAATCAGATCATGTCATGCCTTTGCTTAAAATCCTTCATCAGTTTCATCTCACTTAACACAAAATCAGTATCCTTAATATTGCTTCTTATACACCACACAGTCTGGGCTCTGTATAGTTCTTTAACTCTTCTACAACCACAGCTCCTTTCCCTTCCTCATTATTTTGCATCTACACTGGACGTTTTTTCTCAAACAAGTGAGTTTGGTTTTGCTATGGATACTTGCATTTGCTGTGTCATCTCTCCCCTCTTCTTGTGTAATACTCACCTCTAGTACCTGAAAGAGTTACCAACACATAGTAGGTCTTCAGTGAACGAATTTCAAGGATGATAAAATTTAAACTCAGTCTCTTGCTGAAGGTCACAATGCAATTTTCATTCACTGTCTCGCCACCTATTACACCCACTTGTGTCTTAGCTCTGCTGCCTGTATTCTCTAAGCTGTTTTTATTCATATTGTTAGTGTACATAACATAAAATGAATCCAAAATAATTTGTTTCAAATGGCAGCCTCATTTTCTTCAGAACTTAAAAGAAAAGCTTTTTTAAAAAAGATTAATGATTGGGGGCTGGGGATTTAGCTCAGCGGCATAAGCACCTGTCTTGCAAGCAGGCGGTCATGAGTTCGATCCCTGGTACCGATAAAAATGAAAAAGACAAAAAAAAAATTAATGATTGGTTGTTACACCAGATTAGCAGCAAAAAATAAACAATGGCCTAGAGGATATCAAATAAACCCATGCCAAAACAAAAATCACAGATCAAGTTTTTCCACCATGCTGATATTTTTAAACATT